GTCTAATGACATTTCACCATTAACACAGTTAATTGAAGATTCGGATGACGGTCATACAAAACAATCTAACAACATTGTTCAACACAAGTTAGAAAAATGGGATGCCTATCGAGAATATGAACAACAACAATTAGAATCAATTAATTTATTGACCGAAGAAGAAATGTTAAATATAGATCAATGGTTATTAGAATTGCATCAGGTATATGAAGAATTACGATATCCGATGTCACGCCGTATTTGGCAAACCATTACTTATTTACAAGATGGAGAACGACTTTGGTATGAACAAGAAAAACAACAAATCAATAATGATTGGCGTTATTTTTGCAAGAAGTTGAAGCAGCATATTTATGATCGTTTCAAAAGTAATATTATTTCTTCTACAAAAGATCATAATTTATCTTCTGTTAAGAATGTGACACAAGAGGAACAATTTTCCTCAACTAAGTCTTCATCCATTGAAATTAATTCATCATTATCATCAGCTCTTTCCATAACCATGGCAAGAGAGATTATCAAATCTCCAACATATTTTCGTGGTGCCAAAGATGATGTTATGGAATGGTTAGAAAAATTAGAACAAAGATTTGCAATGGCAAACTGGACTGATGAACTTAAATTACAATATATATCAATTCATTTACAAGAAGATGCTAATCGTTGGTGGAATCAATCATCAACAAAGATTACAAGTTGGTCACATTTCGTTGAAGCTATTAAACAAGCTTTTGGTTCAACCAAAATGAAAGAATTAACATTTGAACAATTGCGAACATATAAACAATCGATTAATCAATCTATCACGCAGTATTATGATAAAGTTATCGAATTATGTAAAAGAGTTGATACATCAATGACTGATTCTATGAAATTACAATATTTAATGGCAGGTGTTAAACAATCATTAAAATTACATATTGCATTACATGATCCACAATCTCCTGAAGCATTTTTATCTTATGCCAGGAAAGTAGAAGATACATTATCATTAACAACTACAGATTATGATTTGAATTCACACGATAATTATCAGAATACAAGTTACGATCGTCAACCAACAACATCAAACATTAACCCTCGACAAGCTGTTGATTCTCGATGTGTTGATATTCATCAATCCAAACCACAAACTTCTATATCAGGTCATATAAATAATTCTCGTAATAAAAATGTTTCATATTCTAGTTCATCAAATTATACAACGTCAAAAAGACCATCAGGTGTCTGTTATACTTGTGGGACTCCCGGACATTATTCACGGGATTGTGCCCGTTCCCATTTCCATTAATGGAAGCATCGATTGATGGTGTTGCTTCCAAGAATCAATATGAAAACCCATCACAACGTACTTATGTTCCTTTAATTTATCTTAATGCTTATGTTTATGATAAACAAATGAAATTAATGATTGATACTGGTGCTAATCGAACTTTTATCACAAAGAAGGCATTAAATTCGATTCGCAACATCAAAATTATTAATCGAATCCAACGACAAGTGTTTTTAGCTGATGGATATACATCCATCACTGTTTATGGTGAGGTGGATTTATCATTTGTTATGAATAATATTTATACATCAATTCGAGCACTTATTGTGAAGAATCTCTGTGTTAGTTGTATACTCGGTATGGATTATATCATTAAATATAAATTAATTATCAATACTGTTAACCAGACAATATCTATTGGTGTTAAAAATTATCGATTGACTATACCTATCGATAATAGTGAGAAGATTAATTTTGAAACAACTCAAGCATCAAAATTGTTATCAATTGGAATTTCAGTTATGAAAACGAAATCACTTGACACACATATTGATCATTTGGTGGAACATATTAATGGTCATGATCAACAACATCAAGTGAGACAAATTCTTATACGTTATAATAAATTATTTGATTCGAAGAAAACAGTTATTGCTTCTAATGTTAAACCCCATGAAATAAAAACAATTGATCATCCACCACCAACATCAAAAGCTTATTATTCTACACCACAAAAACAAGAAGCTATGCACAACATTATTCAAGAATTATTACAATCTGGTCTTATTCGTCAATCTTATTCTAATTATGCTGCTCCAGCTATGTTAGTTCCTAAGAAGGATAATACGTGGCGCATGGTAGTTGATTATAAAAAACTGAACAGCATCACTATTAAAGATAACCATCCTTTACCTAATATGGAACAAACGATTCAAATATTAGGAGGAGGATATAAATTCTTCTCTAAGTTGGACATGAAAAGTGGTTTTTGGCAAATTCCCATTAAGGAAGAGGACAAACACAAGACGGCGTTTATTACTCCTGATGGGTTATATGAATGGAATGTATTACCTCAAGGTTTAAAGAATAGCCCTCCATCATTCCAACGATTAATGTTAGATTTATTATCTCCGTGTCGACAGTTCGCCTTGGTGTACATTGACGATATTGTGATATTCTCTTACACCTTTGAAGAACATGTTAAACATTTGACACAAGTATTATCTATTTTATCAAGTCACAATTTACAATTAAATTCATCAAAATGCTTTATATTACATCGGCAAATCGATTATTTATCACATACGGTTTCACAGTTTGGAGTGAAACCTAATAAAGAAAAGATTCAAGCAATTATGAATTTACGTGAACCTACAACATTAGCAGCAGCTAACAAATTTATCGGTGGTATTTCCTGGTATCGAAAATTTATACCTCAATTTGCATCTGTAGCAGCACCTATTATCTCAATAACAAATTTAACAAAACCAAATCGAAAGAAGTTCGTATGGGGAACTTCTCAACATGAAGCATTTATTCAATTGAAACAATTATTAATTAATCAACCATTATTTCTTCAATTCCCGAATGATGATTATCCGGTTATTTTAACTACGGACGCATCGAAGGTTGGCATTGGTGGTACATTACAACAAATAATTAATGGTGAAACTAAAAATTTATATTATTATTCTCAAATTACTTCTCCTACTCAGAGGAGATACGATCCAATTGAGCTAGAAGCATTGGCTATATGGGCATGTTTCCGACGTATGCGTTCATATTTATTAGGAAGATCAATTATTATTTACACGGATCACTGCCCTCTATGCAATATGATGAATAAGTCTGTAAAGAACAGACGAGTTGATCGCATCTCTATATTATTACAAGAATACGATATTGAAAAAATTATTCACATTAAAGGACAACAGAATTGTCTTGCTGATTATTTATCTCGTAATCCAATACAAATTGAACCTGAAGAAATATTTGAAGAAGATTATGGTATTAGTACATTGTTTAATGGGGAACCGCCGGTTTCGGTGTCTGTTTCCGTTGATAAACATCCTGTTTTAGGTGCTGTTGTTACACGTTCAATGAAGAAACAACAAATTCAACAAGAATCTGAATTAGATAAATCTTTATTATCAATTGAAAAAGAACTAGAATCATCTTCATTGGAAAAAATCAAGAATTTATCATCTCAATCACAGCTTAAATCATATACTTGTAATCAATTTGATATAAAACAAATTAAGTTCGAACAAGAAAAAGATCCTATTATTCAGAAAAAGGTCAAAGAAATTCAACAAAATCCTACACGTGGTTCATTTGTTTTGCATGAAGGATTATTATATAAATTGATGCCGATGAATTTACGAAATATTACTAAAATTAGATTAATTTATATACCTTCATCTATGATTAATTCTCTTCTCAAGGCTTATCATTCTGATCCTTTGGGTGCACATTTTGGAATAAGACGTACATATTATAAATTAAAGAATAAATATTGGTGGCCAGATATGAAACAATCTATTACTCGATTTATCAAGTCTTGTTTACCATGCCAACAATACAATGTTAGTCGATTTAAAAAACCTGGTTTACTTTGTCCAATTGAAACACCACCTGGACCTTTTCAGTTGATTGGCATTGATTACTGTGGACCATTTAAACGTACTCCAAGAGAAAATCAATATGTATTATGCATTACTGATTATTTTACTCGATGGATCACTGCTGTTGCTTTACCCGATTGCACTGCTCAAACAACAGCTCAAGCAATTTTCAATGAATATATTTGTCGGTATGGTGTTCCCGTATCAATTTTAACTGATCAAGGCACACATTTCAACAACCAATTAATGGAATCAATGGCTCAATTAATTGAATATAATCATATATTATCTACTGTTTACCATCCACAAAGTAATGGAATGGTTGAACGTTTTAATGCCACTTTCGTGCCTCAATTAGCTAAACTTCATGATCGTGAACACAATAATTGGGATGAATATTTACAATCAGTAGTATTTGCATATAATACAGGTATACATGCAGCTACTAATTATTCTCCGTTCCAGTTACAATTTGGCCATGATCCACGTATGCCTACTGATGCAACATCAAATTATGTTTTTTACAAGCCATCAGATTATTACAATCAATTAAAGAAAAGTCTTAGAATTATTCAACAACATGCTCGAAATCAATCAATTTATTCTCATATGAACAATAAAAAATATTATGATAAAAATCGAAGCAATCCACAATATGAAATTAATGATAAAATTTTAATTAGAATTCATGGTTTAAGATCAAAATTAGATCCACATTATACATTGAACCCGAAGATTATCATACAAAGACAACATCCAATATATTGGGTTCGAGATCAATTGAATGATCAAATTACTCGTGTACATGTGAATGATATACGTCCGATATTATTACCATAAAACATTTTTTTCTCTTTCTTCTTCTTTTTTGTTTTGTACGTTTACTGTTATTGTTCACGTTTATGTTTCGCGCCCTCTATCTATTTCCGTATCTTTTCTTTTTTTATTATTCTTAGTTATATGACGATTCGGTTGATTGGAAATTATCCATTATCTTCTTTTCATTCTTCCTCCTCTTCTTTGATAGTGCTTTCCATTATCATATATCTCTGTTTGTTGTTATTATTGATTTTTTTTCTTCTGTTGTTTATGTATTTGGTGTTATGCCTTCTCGTTCGCATTCATCTAGTTCCACTTCAAAAGATTCAAATCGTGATTCAAGTCGTAAATCAAAAAGTCGTCATCGTCGTAATGTTCGTTTAGAAGAGCAAAACAATAATTATCGACATCATTATCTTCCATTTACTATTCCATCATCATTTTACAATATTGTACATGTCCATCGATTTACTACTATTGATACTATTTCTACATTAATTAATCATTTTGAATCATGTTATAGATATTCAATCGATACGGAATCAGATCGATTTACATATGAATTATCTCTTATTCAAGTTCATTCCATTCCTCAAAAATTACCATCATTTATCGTATTATTTGAACTTAATCATTTTCTTCCATCAGATACATTATTATTTGAAAAAATTAAATTGTTATTTCGTCTTTTATTTCGTTTAGGAAATATTATTTTTTCTTGGGGATCGATGTCCGACGAATTAATGCCTGCTGTTCGAATGAATTTATTTACATGGCCAGTACCTGCATTATTGTTCAATTTGCAAGATGAATTTTATAGTTGGTATAGAGGGGCACTGCCTCCTTGTGAGGCATGTGGCTCGATTCAATTATCGACTATGGATACGTCTTCGAAATCTTCACGTATTTGTTCGAAGCATTCTCCTTATGTTAACCCGACAGATAAATGGTCATTACAGAATGCTGTTTTTTTATACTGTTAATCGCTTTCTTGATAAATCATCAACAAAGAAAAATTGGAGTGTTATGTTAGATCCAAACCATTCGCCATTATCATCATATGAACAACATAAACGAATTAATTATGCAATTTACGATTGCTTTGCCGTCACCTTATTACATCAAGCAATTTATGATAAATGGTCGTTAACTCAACTTCGTGAAGCAGAATTAACATTTTTATTTACGTCGAATGCTCCACCTCATTCGTCATCATTATCTTCGTCAACCTTATTGAAAAATGTTTCGGAATATAAAAATGAAACAAAATCAACATCTGCTTCGATTTCAAATGCTCCACGTCATTCATCATTACCGTTATCGAGTTTATTAGAAAATATTTCTGATGAAGAAAATGAAGAAGAAGAAGACGAAATATTTGTTTCATCTCTTTCTAGACATTATGATACAAATACATTACTTAATTCAACTCGACAGGTTGAAATTGGACCTGCGATAGTCTCTGATGTTGTTACTATAGAACCTACGCCATTAAATCAACAATTATCTACAAATGAACCACCTAAATTACGTCGAAATTGTCGTTCATCATCAGCACGAACACGTCGTAATCGCAAACGAAACATGGTCAAACGTCTACATCGTGATCAACATATTATTTATCGCAAAGTTTATCACCGATTCAATATTCGTCAGATAAAGAACATCCTTCGTGCTCGTAATGTTCGATATGTCCATTTAACACTTCACAAATCGTCACAAGTCTTATCAATTGGAATGAAAAAACCTTCTCTGGTGGACTTATACTTTGATCGATTACCTGGTGATTTATTTGATAAAGAACATTATCAACATTATCGTCAAAATGAACATTAAAAAAAAAAAAATTCTTTTTTTTGAAGTTTTTCTCTTTTTTGTTATTCAGTTGTCTTTCTTTGAATCTAGTCAGATTCTTTTCTGTTGTTGATTTTTTTCTTCTGCAAGTTTTTCTCTCGTTGTTTGAAAAACTTTTTGGGGGGTAAGGGTGTCAGGACCTGACCTCTATTGTCATTCCATTTGTCTTTCCATTCGATATA